CTCAGTTATTTTCCTTTAACTCAGCTCTCCAAGTTTTGGTTCACCACTGCTATGGCCTGGTATTGAACTCACATCTCTTTGGGTCTAGTCACTGGATCTGACCAACGCCTTTATCCACTGGGCGATGTGTCCTTGAGGACATGGTTCAGTTCGATATTCCAATCATCTGAAGAAGGCCGGAGCGTAAAATAGCCGAAACATTGTGAATATGACAATGAAGATGAGGATAACAGTCCGAATAACGTAAACAATGTAAATAATCATAATGCATCATCTCATAGATATAGAGGAAGATGAGAATAACAGTCCGAATAACGTAAATAATTCAAGTAATCATCATACCTCATCTCAGAGATATAGACAGAGAAATATAACGTAAAGGCCGAAGCGTACAACGGCCGAAACGTTGTGAATATGACAATGAAGATGATGATAACAGTCTGAATAATGTAAATAATGCAATTAATCATAATGACTCATCTCAGAGGTATAGACAGATTTTGAAATGGTTATCTTACCTTTTTGTTAAGGCGTACAAAAGAAAATTTTGTGCAAACGTATTTGTAAACTTTGTATTGTTTTATTGTTCTTTATGTCATTCTAATAAACGTGTGTTTCTTTTAAATTTCGCATTGGTGTAGGAGTTTTTGTTTGTTTACGTTTGTGCCTTTCACAATACTCGGAATAAAAAGTGTGACGTACACTTTTCTCCACCCTCGCCTAATATAAATTATTTTAAGAAAGATGTCAGCACAGATCAAAATAAGAGATGTCACAAAACTGGTTAAGCCACAAAATTGGAAGTGGGTAGATAACTAGAGAAAAATATTGATCGTCTAGCGGTCAAGAAGGACGAGACAGAAGACGGAAATATAAATAGACAGGTATACTTGTTGCGGATTTGAATCAACCCACAGCAAAGCAAAAGGCGAGAAAGGTTTTTTAATTATAAAATATTTTTATTTTCGTGTTTTTATAACTAAATTTTTTGGTGTATGATTGTTAAAGTTCTTGTGTTAAAATTCCTTGTTTGTAGTTTCTTGAAAAGAAATGTGATTTCTTTGCGTGTGAGAAAATGAGGCAGGGGAGAAAGTGAGGAGGAAAGTGTAAGCGTCACGTAGCTTGGTGTGGAAAATTGTAAGTGTCACTTAGCTTGGTAAGGAATTCGGGTAAGGGAATCTCTTTTAACCCGTGTCGTGAACAATTACCGTCTGTTGCCGTTCCTTACTAGCTTATCTAGTCTATAAGCGTTGCTTAAATACTCTTGAAAGGGGTCACGGAACATGTTTTTTTACCGTCGGCAGGAACACAACCCATTAGTTGAAAAATGTTAGATATTTATTTTCAAAGGCTTAATTTATTAACCGGAAGGATGCGCGGATCCTCCCACTCAGAAAAGCATTTTTTGGTCTTGGAGTTTATTTCCGTCTTCGCTTCACATACTGTTTTGTATCAAATACAAGTGGACCGTCTGAATTATTCCATACCGGTTTTCGAATGATAAAATACGCGTGCCGATTCAAATAAATCTTTAGCCGGAAATCTTTTTAAATGTAAGTTTAGGAAAAGTGGAATAAAATAATCGAGAGCCGGAGAGAGAAAATTATTCGAAAATTTTTTAAAATGCGTGCCGTATTTGGTACATAAGAGCTTTGGAAAATCATGGCTTGGAACGAGCACAAAGTATGGACGCATATAGAAAAAGCTGTTATTATTACGGAAGGAAATAGAAAAAGTTGTATCCTTCATTCCTCAACCAAACTCAATTCTCAAAATTGTAATTTCATAATGTTATAGAATGCAAAGTCTGGGCCAGAATGGCGAGTGATTGATCAGAATACCTTGTGGACGGGGAATTCTGACACTGACGGATTGCTTTTCGTCAAAGTTTTGGAAATCGGACCAAAAACGGCGAGAAATCGTCTGCAATGCTCGCAATCTGAGTTTCTTAGAAGAGCGAGTCGAGAAAAGTTTTAAAGGCAACCCAAGCATGGAATATTAACTCTGATTTAGCATGGCGGAAAATGACTACCTACTTCTAAAAAACCCAGTTGAGAGCATAAGCACAGAAAAAATATACTATGAGCCCCTTTGGAAATGGCTAAACGTAGTCGGATTGATGATATGAATATGCTTGCATTCATCGAAATAAATTTATTAATGACTACGGATTTTTAAGTTTTTTTCTAACTATATATATATATATATATATATATATATATATATATATATATATATATATATATATATATATCTATATATATATATATATATATATACTTAGGAAAAACTTAAAATCCATAGTCATTAAAAAATTTATTTCGATGAAATATTATTCATATAATCAAACCGACTTATCAACTTATCGACTTCTGGTGTCTTACCAAGTGATGGTGTTGAAACACCATCACTTGATAAGACAACAGAAATGTTGAAACAAAATGGTTATTTTTGTAGTGATTTTATAACATACTTATGTTAGAATTTTAGAATAAATAATTATATTTGCTCTACTCTGTATTGAGCACTCTTTTAAGAATAGTATTTGTTGGTTATTGGAATTTATTCCGTATAAACCAATCCTTTACTAGGACATATATATATATATATATATATATATATATATAAATTTTATATATATATATACATATATATATTTTATATACATACATATATATATATATATATATGATAGACTCTCACGTCAATTTTGAAGTTTGAGGATCCGACATTCAGTTTTTATGTTTGTGTCATGTTATGACATTACAGTCCACTAGTGACCTTCATAGAAGTCGATATATTGTGTAACAGCGAGGATGTCCTGATATATATATATATATATATATATATTAACTGATTTGAGGATGAAATGGAGCTAATGTTTTTAATTTAATTACAAAATTAAATTTGAAGCTTTTAGCTTCCATTTTTGAAACATGGTTATTACTGTGTAACGAAAAAACCATATTTTAAATCAATTAATTTATAATATTAATGCTCTGTAAATGTACATTGAGCACTATTTTGTAAAAATAAAAATATCAATAAGAACACCGGATTATATATCTTATTGTTCTTTATATATATATATATATATATATATATATATATATATATACAGGGTGCGAAGGATAAATTCTTGTCTAAATTACGCAAAAATTGAAATAAAACTGACATCTCATTTTCACAGATATATTTACTAAAATTGCACATAAATATCTTGAAATACTAAAAAGTAAATTTCTTCAATAACATCGGCATTGGGCACGGTTTCCAGATGTCTTTGAAATCTCCTGCATCTTTCCGGACACTTAAACAAGTTGATGAATGCTGCTATAATTCTTGCCTTCAGTTCATCTTTGGTGTTACAAGGAGTTTTGTTGCTCTCACGCTCAACTGCAACCCACACATAATAATCAAGGAGGTTGCAGTCTGGGGAGATAGATGGCCAGGTGTAAGGTGTGATATGGTGGCAAAAATCGTCTGACAGCCATGACTGGGTTCACCTGCTTGTGTGGCATGGTGCAGAGTCCTGTTGCCGAACAATGGCTCTTTTTGCAGCCACCCTCTAGACCTCCTCAAGGCACTTGATGTAAGCCTCCATGTTGAGTTTGAGGCCATCACTACCAAACTTGGGTATTCTTATCAAAATGATCAGAGTGAGTTTTCCGAGCTGCCGTAGCTTCTTTATCACCATTTAACTCATCTAAATCTTTCCGAAATCTCTACACTGTCCTCGGATTGTCACCCAAACACTCTGAACTATTCGTATTGGAGCTTCCGTCGTAAACGCAGTACATTATGCCGTTTTGAAATTTCTGGCGAAGTGAATTGCGTCATGGTGATCTTTTTCTCACATACGGCGCCCAACTGACCCTACTATATTGTGCAGTCGACAAAATCAAAAACAAACAACGCGATTGCACGAAATTAAAAATATAAAATGGTGACAATTTACACATCGCTCACTGTATATATAATGTACAAGTACATATATCCTAGCACAAAATCGTCACCGTGGATTCAAGCATATTGGCCTTGTTCTGATTATGCCAGTGACTATGCGTTCTTCCCCGAAATTAAGATTAAGATCACTCAGCATAGTTACAGTTTAAGCATAGTTTAAACTAAACGTTGTCCCTATGCTGAACAGACACAAATGTGCCTGTCACAGAGATTAGTAAACTACACAAGCAGTCGCAATATATTACTACTACAACTATCACTATTACTTCTACTACAAACAATATTTTTAGTGAATACACGTGACCGAGTAGACATATCTGTCTTTTTTTTCTAAAATGAAATTAAGATCTACCAGCCTGGATTATCAAAAGTCTTATGAAAGATAATGTACCTCTCGTCAGGAATCGAAGCTGAATTTTTCTTTATATTTAATCACATTTTAGCTAGGCCTGCTGTTACTAATTTAATCATGGAGGTCCTTACAAGGCTCAATTATACTTTTAAAGAAATTGTCATCTCTCGTTGAGATTTTTTGATGTCTATATCGTCTGCTAGCTTATGTTTTCATAACCGAAATTTAAACAAAGTAACTGAGGCAGTTAATAATTTTTTTTTATATGACAATATTTTATCACGATAAATGTGGATGTAGTTATGTAAAATAATGACGCATTAAAAAAAAACAAATTTTAATTGGTTATATGAGAGGAAATAATAGTGGTTATATGAACACAGTTTGCGCCAATTCAAACTTGTGCAATAATTTGTATACAAATCCAATGAAAAGAAATGACCGCTTATATTGGCCAAAATGGTGAACCCATGATATGTATGAGTCATTGCTTGTGAATAAACTCTTACAGTAGAATCAATGAATCTGTTATAAAAACAAAAAATTAAGGAGCCGCTTTTAAAGAGAGAGAAGAATTGAAGAACAACTTATGTTCAATCATCTTTTAGTGAAAAATTATACTTCCTCTCGACTCGGATAAACTTGGCAAGCCTGAAGCCATCCGTTGCCAGTTTTGGTTCCCATGCACCTTCTACCCAACCACGCCCCTCTCTTCCCCGCCTCTCCCCTCTCTGTCCCCCACCTCTGCGGGTTTCATTCTTACTACCCATCTACCATCCTACACACACAAAAAAAAACTTTTCCTTACCAACTCAAACCCTGTCCTCTCCTTCCATGCCAAAATTGCTTCAATCTAATTCTATCTCCCCACCTCCATGACGGTTTCTCCAGGTTGAAGGGTTGCCACCCGCCCACACATCGGCAGCTCAACTGACCTTCGCTCTAGACTTCAACAGCATTCTCTTCGTAATTGAAATAGTCACGGTGACTATTCTCTTTACTTAATCGGGTCATTTTTTTTAAATTTAGGGTGGAGAGGTGTGGCTACTGTTTACCGGACACAGCAGCGTTGCAATAGGAAGCTTAGCTATTACAAGGTAATCAATGTACCGCAAGAAATTGTGCAAAAGGAACTTAGGATAAGTAGTCTGACTAGTTTTGTCATCGTTGTTTAGGGTATTTAATTCAGTTGTTTAGTTTAAATAAATAAATGCAATAAAAATTAATAAGCTGATCACCATACGTTGTGTACCCGGTAAAAGGTAATCAAGCCTTTCTTTTAATTTTTAATTAATTATTTATTTATTTTTTGCTATCATATTGGGTGTAAATTTCTTTACTGACTGAAATCATTGTATCTTTAAGTATTTGGACTTGAAATTGGACTTATCAAATTTATTATACAATTTTATCCTTTTTGGCAGTTGAAAAATTTATTTTTTAAGACATAAACTGAGTGACAGGTGAACTTCAACAGTAATGATTAAAAGAAGGAAAAAAAAGAATATTAGGTTCAAAGAAACTGTCAAATTATTGCTTTTCTTTCCTGATAAATCATTAAAAAAAAACAAAAAAAAACACCCAGAGATCCTTAAGACTTTTGTGAAACATTTTGGATTAGTGAAATTTATCTCCCTTTAATCCGAGGATGTGGAGTCAAAGTCAGAAGCAATTAAGGCCTGCAATTCCCTAAAATGGAAATGTGGGACGTTCCCAACCAGGAGACCGCGGACACTGTGATGCGTTTCTAACTATGGGTTCCACGAACAACCTTAGGGACAGTTATCCAGCCAGGGATGACGTAACTACAAAACTGAATTAAATCATTTTGGTATTTTTGAGCGATAGGAATTCATATCTAACAGATGATCATTCAAGAATTTTATACGGTCAGAGTAAAATAACAATTCAATTAGAATTTTAGAGTAAAGCAGAATTTTAAAAGAAACGATAAAAAAATCATAAAATATTGACCAAATATTCGTTCGCTTATTAAGTAGAAAATCTACTTAATAAACCGAACACAATATTTCATTAGTATAAATATATTCGATGTACCTTTAATGTATCTTCAACTTGGTATGTACTTAATGTGGTTACTAAGAAAGAGGGAATATTTCCAGTTTGTTTTTCCCATTATAGACATTAGTATATCTGTGATAAAGTAACACCTTAATACAGGAACGGAATAGAACAGCTGAAAGAAAGGAATGACAAACATGCATTGTGAGATTGTGAAAGGGGTGAAAAGCGAGAGGGTCTTACTCAGATTTCAGCCTCACCGGACATATCAAAAGTAAAATAGAATGAGAAGGCAGTGAGCCACTTACCTGACGAGATGATGTGAATAGACAGAGGAATGAGTAGTGGGGTTGTCAAACAGAGAAACGTATTAAAGAGATAACTGGCATATTTTCCAAAGGGAGATAATCGCCACTTTCATCCCTACTATTCATTTAAGACCCCAGCTATTTTACCTTTTTTTAACCATTTTACCTCAAGCAAGTCGATAATGCCACTAGGATGCAGGGGGTTATATGGATTGAAAGAGAATGGGAATATTTTAGTGAGAAGAAGTGCAGAAAAGGACAATAAATAAACGGGATTTCGTAAGACAGAATATGGCGATTGAGGATGCATTTAAATTTTTGCAAATTGTAGAGAGTTCTGTAGAATAACAATAATAAACAGCACTTACCGGCGTAAAGGTCGCAGCTAGCGTCCAGCTGGCAGACAAAAATAAAGCAGGTTGTAACTTAATACAAACCCTGCAAACTAACTGATGAATCAAGCTGGTATTTATATAGAAATACCTCCACTCAGGTACCAGCAGCCAATCACAGCCCAAGCAATGGACTATCCCACTTTAGCACAATGAGATGCTCCATGGCAACATAAATAGCTCTCTTTCTAAAAGTTGGATTATTATTCTCTTAGCTTGCTCCACAACTGAGTGTTTATCTCTACCACGTGATTTTTCTACAAGTTCCACAGGCGAGAAGTGTAAGTAAGTATTAGAATGCAACAGATGGCTGCATCTAGCGAATTCAGCAGTAAAACTGTGAGACCTAGTTGCCAATCTAGTGGCATGCTTGAATTCATACAGTCGAGGCACAAAGAAGAACAGTTCATCAGAACATTTGTCATGGAAATATTTATAGAAAAGACAGAGGGCAGCCACGTCACGTGACTGAAGTCGAGATGCCAGGTCAGTTGAATTTTGTCAAAAATCTCGAAATATATAGTAGGAGCATTAAACCAGATGTGACAATAATATTTAATATACGGACGAATGGTAGATTTACAAATGTGGATTTGGACGAGAAAGAATGTCTGGCACGAGACAGTGAACCAATTTTTCTAGCGGCAGACCTAACAAATAATTCATTATAATCACTCCTCTTCATGTCAGTGGAAAACGTGAGCTCAAGAAAGGAGTCTAGAAAAGGTTATCTGTAGTGATTAAATGAAAGCAGTTTTATTTTAGAGGCGTTAAAATTTAGAAACCATTCCTTGCCCCAGTTAACCACTGAGGTCTTTTTCTGGAGCTGTTGCCAATTTTACTTTGTCGGATCCGCCAGACTTGCTACCAAGACAGGAGTAAATAGTTGTGTCACCCGCATAAATACCTAATTGGGAACTGGTTACACCAGGAAAGTCATTGACGAAGATTAGAAAAAAAAGTAAGTCCAAGGATAGATCCCTGGGAGAACTATGCATTCGTATAAAATGATCTAGAATTGTGTCCGTTCAACACTACCTTCATTACAAGATTTGTTAGGAACGATTGGATATAATATAATATATAATATAATATTCGTATATTCGAGTATATGGAAAAGGCCAGCATGCCAATTCCTGTCGATCGCCTTTGAGATATCTAGCACCACAGACGATAGAATGATAGACGAATTCAGTGATCTGGAAAAACGAAAGCTATATTGTGTATCTGAAAGAAGGCCGTGTGAAGTAAGATGCTTAACCAATTCGATGTTGATTAGAGCATCTAGTACATTTCCCAAAAGAGGTAAGAGACCAGTAGGGCAATAATTTGAGGGATCAGAAGGTTCCCTAGTGTTCTTAATGACAGGAACTACAGAGGAGGACTTCCACCAAGCTGGAAAATAAGAAGTAGTGAGGCATTTATTGTAAAGTTTGGAGATAACAGGAGTCAGTTCAGGAGCATATTTCTTTAGAACAATTGCAGAGATACCGTCGAAGCGTTATCGGGATCTCGTTTAGAAATGATAGCAGAAAGCATGGACGGATGTGTCTGTCACTCAGTAGAGACTCTGTTCTGGGGGGGAATATCAGAATAGGAAAGAGCTCTAATAAGAAATTCGTTTGAATGCTTTAAGATTTGTGATTAATTTTTAACTGCTTCTTGTTTCATGATTATTGTTTTTTTTTTTTTTGTTTTTTTCTGAACCGAATTTTAAAAATTTACATTCAAGATTTACTGATTAGTCAAGATCAATAAGTGGTAATCGCTTCTTGTTGTTCTATGTGTCCTGTCCATTCAAGGCGTGAGCGATCATGGGTCTCCACAATTTCCTGTCCTTTTTTCGCTCTTGATAAATTTTTGTCTTTTTTTTTATTTCTCCTTAAAACTTCGTCCTGGGTAAGACGTTAAACTACATCCGCGTCCTGGGTAAGACGATAAACTACATCCAACAGCAAGGCCTCTGATTAGGAGGTTTTGAGGAGCGTGGAATCACCTCTTAATTGCTGGTGTTCTCAGGTCAACTCTAACCCAGAGTGGTAGCACCTGTTAGGGTTCCAGCTATGGGCAAATAGTTAACTATTACCAGCAATACATTTTTGAAAAAAATCATTACCAGCGATGCAATTTTGAAGGAAAAATATTACCAGAAACAGATTTTTGACAAAACAAAATATTACCAGCAATAAAAAACGTTGTCGGCATTAAATAACCCACTGAGGTTGATATTCCGTAAAACAAAATAAACCAAACAAATCTAAACCAAAGAATACATATTCTATTTATACGAATCTACCCTAAAAATGTTGTCGACATTAAATAACCAATTGAGGTCCATATGCCGTAAAACAAAATAAACCAATCCAAACCAAACTCTCCTTAAACCCCGTTTCTGCCAGCCATTCAAAAAGGGTCGTTAGGCAGGGTTTACGTGATGTATTCCTCCTTCCCTCTTTCCTTCAATATGACCTGTGAACATCAAATTTTCAAAGCCCTCTTTCTTTATTATGTGCTCTAGAAATTTCAACTATCTTTTTATAATAAGAATGAGTCTCCTTTTTGTTTCCATTTTCTCTAAAACCCGGTCATTGCTCACATGTTCGGTCCATGGTATACCCATTTGTACTGTCTTTTTTCGCGAGAAAACTGTCCTGCATTCACTGCCATATTAGAGGAACGATATTGCACAACAGTTCAGTATACTTTGTTTCAAATGAATTATTTCTATGTCTCAGTACTGTCACTATCCCAATGCACCTTCGGATTTCAGTGCCACACTTTCTGTCCTCTATGAAAGCGCTTCCTAGATATTTAAGCTTCTGTACTTGCTTGATGTTGACATCTCTAAATTGTAACTTGCATCTTGGGCTTTTCTTTTGCTGATGACTACACTTTCTGTTTTCTTGCAATTGATGTTTAGTCCTTTCTTCTTTCTTTCCTTCCCGACCTTCTACAACATTGTGTCATTGTGTCTTAAGATTGTGACCATCAATGATGAATCCTGGTAGGACTTCTAATTCTCTGAGAATTGCCGAGTTGTATAGGTTAAATAAGTCCGGTTACAAGACACACCCTTTTTTTACACTCCTTTCTATTTTTGCATATTTACTGAATTCATTTTCTATCCGTATGAAGGTGGTTTGCTGCCAGAATAGGTTCTGGATTATTC